AAATTCCGGGGGATGGGGTTATGTATCCCTGCACACACTTTTTGAGGTGGGGGTTGGCTACTGAATCATCCATTCCCACAAACACACTTTTTTGTGATGAGCCCCCCCATAAAGCGGATTGTGAAAAATTTTTGATTTCCAAACGACTTGGATATTTGCAATATCACTACTGATTATGCATGAATTTGATGCACATTTTCCAATGTGCATAAGACTAACAGTCCGTTCTTCTAGCACATTACGGAGTGTGTGCTGTTTTTATTACCCCTGCACATTGGGGTCACATCATCTGAACAACCCCTGCACATTGGGGTCACATCATCTGAACAACCCCTGCACATTGGGGTCACATCATCTGAACATTCCTGAAACCATCTCAGCTCCCTGAGGAGTATACTAGCCCGATGCTGCTTTTTTGGCGCAAACGGCTAAACATAACCATGTCTGCCCTCACAGGTACCCATTTACTCCTGGGTGGAGAGAGGTATCATTATCATGAACATCGCCCCTTGTAGATGGTATATGCCCCCCCCTCCCCCGCTTGTCAAATTTCCATGGCCAGGCAGTTCATCCCCCTCCTTCCCCCCCCCCCCCCGATCTCCCAATTTCCGGCTTAGATTTAGCTCAAGAAAGACACCAACAAAGATATCTGGTTTGCGACTAATGATGCATTATGGCCTGCCTACTTCTTAGTTTACAGAGATATCTATAACATTTCTAAGGAACAAGCAGATCAACCGATATCACCTTAGGCAGTTCGTCCCAACAGTTTGAAATTTCTGACACTTGTTCCTGGAGGCACCATCTACTGCGGTATAGATTATTACAAATGGATTACCAACAAAAACGGAAGAAGACTGTTGTCTAGTAAAGACTCCAACAGCTGCGGCGATGCCGTAATTCTTCATCATCTTTCCCGTAAATGCAACGGTCAGTACTGACGTGACAAATTAATTAGGGCATCTTTTGAATAGGGCCTGGATGCATAATGAGATTGGGCTAGGGCTTACTGATGGGGAGCAACATGTGCAAGTTATAGCCTTTTCTAATAAGTAAGGTCAACTTCAGATTGGTTTAAACGATTTGGGAAGGAAGGAGAATGAAACAGTTCCCAAATTGCATATCTCTAATTATTTTTCATAAAAAATGCTTCTATGGGGGGTGGCCCCTTGGATTTGCTTAGCATATCAGTCAGAAGCTGCTTACCTCAACGGAACATTATCTCGCATGAAATGGTTTTTGCCCACGTCACAAAACTAGTTGCTTTCAGTCGTCCAGTCTTGCAGTTCGTTGTCTCTTGAAATTAAACGATATAGGCCTGGTGGGCTTCGGTTTGTAAACGGTACAAGTATTACATTTATTACACGGTACAAGTATTACATTTGTTGAAATGGGATGAGTATTACATTTATTACACGGGACGGGTATTACATTTGTTGAAATGGGACGAGTATTACATTTATTGCTACAATGATTGTTCAAAACTACTTTTTTGCATCTTACAGCCGTCTGTTAAAGATCAAAGTGAAGATAGTTCTTCCACTGGCAATGTTTCCATCGTCAATGTTGTGTAGACAACAGAATTCTCGAAGCAATGATCTTTCATCACAGAAAATCCCCGCAAAGCCTTTGATAAATTAAAGCCTACGCCCTCATGTCTACCTAGGGGGCTTTCATAAAATCGACGGAGGATTTCAGTTTTGGTGAACAAAATAAAAAAAAATCGACTCGCTGGCCTTTGGGAATCGCTGTCGATGCAACGTGGAGCCTGACTGACGCGTCGCGATTCCCCTTCACAAATTGAGTTTGCTGTAGCTTTAGGCTGAGCCGTGTGACTTTCGAGAACGGCTAATAGTTGGTGAAAAAATGCGGATGCAAACTGTTCTTTGCTGAGAGGGGAACAGAGGGAAAAGATGTGAATGTGTTGAGCAGGTGTTTGTGAACTTTCGACAGGTGTTATTCAATCTGTATTGATTTTTCAATTTGGACGCTCTTTTGTTGACATAATTGGAGAGGATGGGCTGTAATCACAAACTTCAACGTGTAAGGAGGTCTTGGGGTGACATTAACCGAATATGTCGACTTGATGTCTGGTTGCCTTGGTATCGATGACGATACTGTCTTCTTCGTAACCAGGACCCCGATGTAAGGTATTATGCTGGTAGATTTTTCCATCGTAATGCTTCATTTCCGTATGAAGTCATGATACTCACTTAATGTGATTGAGATGAGGTAGGATTCGGTTTTCTTGTCTGAGTTGGTTTTTCTCGTCTTTCGGTACCCTCGTTCTTTTTTTGTCAGACATTCTCCTTGTTTTATATGCAATTTACTTGCTAATCCCTATTTTGAGTCAAACCTCGTACGTTTGCAAACAAAACGCTGCCACTATGATTAGATTCTATTATTTCAAACATCGTATCCTTGACTCCGAGTTAGAGCATGTTTGTTCCTGGACCCAGAAAAATGCTAACTTATCCTGCATATGTCTTAGCATTCATAGTGCTTTATTCATTGATTTGCCTACAATGATATCGTACTTCCAGCAGCTGCTAGGCCTTAGGGGTTTCTAATGCAATACTTTATAAGTCTGTTTTTTCGTTTGCTTTTCAATTTTTTAAATGTCTTCTGACACTTTTTTTCTGCCCGCACAAGCGAAAGTTCTCATTGCCCCCTTTTTTTGTTTACGTCATAATTTCAATGGTAGTCTCATATAAGACATTGTTTTTTGTATACTTTTCTCAAAATCCGTCACTGCATTAAGTTTTAGGATATAACAGTCTCTTGTTATCCTAGATAACGCAGGGCAACCAGGGTAAGGTAGCGACATTTTGTGACGGCCACCCGAAGCCAGACATTTTTCCAAGCTGTTGTGTTCAAGCGTTTCAGGAAAATGGAATAGCGCCCTCTGCTGGTATTTTTTTCCGGATGATCAATATTCTTGGCGTCGTTTTCTTTTCAGTGAAATCAATCCACCCAATGAGTGTGGATGATTCATTTAAACTTAAAAGGAATTCTCACTTCTGTTTTGCAAAGTTTATTTAGAATAACTCAAGAAAGTTCGTCTCCTTAAAGGAAACAACGCACAACACAGGGGCGGATCCGAGAACTCAGGATCAGGCTGAAAATTGTTTTCTTATGTCTCATTTTTGGGACTATATAGTCTCCTATTTAAACACTCACCTTGCGCACGTAAGATGAACTTGCGGCATGCCATTTTTTTTTTTAGATTCTCTTTGGTTGTTTCTTATTATTCCCCTATTTTTTACTTTTTTGTTTGCTTGTTTGTTGTTTTTGTCTCAGAGCAAAGGGGGTTCGACCCCCCCCCGGATCCTCGCCTGCAACATCAGCGGTTTGTGTGCAGTGACATATCCAGAAGACCTCCCAGACAACAAAATCCCTCAGCACCCTCTCCGCTTTACACTATGAATGCCTGCGACCCTGCGGCGGTATGGGCGTCTTTATAAATTCGCCTTCCACCCATCATGTTAGCAGGTATTTGGTACTTGAGTGCCTGACGGGGACACCGGTACAAATCAAGTTCAAAGGATAGGTTCAAATGGGAGGAGTTGCACTTTAAATAAGGAGCATCAGTTCGAATAATATTTCAATTAGTAATTCTTCTGTGTGTTTTCTCCATATCATGAGAGGCCATAACTTCCACTGTTGGGGATGTGTCGTTGTACCACTCTTGTAGTCCTGCAATGACTGTGTATGATGGGGCGTTCCGGATCGCAGACGTCACAATCAGCTCATCAAGTTAAAATTTCTGGAATTTTGCAATAGTACTACGGTTTATTGTTAGTTAAAGGTGGTGGTTCCCCCATTGAATTTACAACAATGATGTCAGTGGGTGACATGATTTTTCTCTTAGTCGAATATTTTTGGAGGGGGGAGCACGCCAGATTCCACCAGACTTTTCTCTACGGATTTAAACAGATTTGTGGGAAAAAGTAAAAATGCCTCTTTGTTTGTTGGAAAATGAAAAGAAATTTGCTGCCAAAAAACAAACAAGCTTGGATGAACCTTTTTTTGGCCTTAGAAGGTAATGGTCCTCATTTATACTGTGTATGATTTCTGAGTAACAAGCAATTTTATAAGCATTTCACTTAATCATCGATCTTATCAACCAATCATCAAAGGGTGCTAAACACATTTTGCCTTGAGGTTGAATGCTGCCCTCTCCTACAAGACAAAATTAAAGTGCACCTGTTGGTATCCTCTGTGAGACTTGCGGTTTGAATTAAAACACTTAGTTTAGCAACTTTGGCTCAGCTTTGAATCCGCGAATGACCAAAATCATTCTGGACCCATATTTTCAGTTCACAAGGTACACGTACTAGGAAATTAACCGCTTGGAAATCACTTGTCCATCAATCAACATTCCAACTGATCCACCAGTCACCCAATCAGCCGATTTGTACAACATAACAGCTTCGACCTAGTGCTTAGGCGGCCTCGTTGGGTCTCCTTTTAAGGGGGGGGGCAATCAGTGGGTATGGTCATGATGGTTCAAGACAACACAAAACCTTTTTATCTGCTCCAGAATCCTGAGAGGTGGGGCACAATGGGTGGGGACACATACCGTAAGTGGTAGTTCATACCCTTTATCCTCCGCTACCCAGTTGCGACAGAATAAGTTATTCAGTAAGTCATTAATGATTTGAGTAATTCACAGTCTCATTTGGTTCACAATTAGGCCTGTTACGATCATCTGATTCGCTTCCGTGTTGCTTTCCAATGCATCGTTAAGAAACAAAATGAGAAGTTCTGTTGTGTTGTATCAAACAAACAATACCTTTTGGAGTGTCTTTGTTTTCAAAGCCGTTATGTCACTTGCGGAGTTTGGCAGCTGGAACAGAAATATTCCGGCTTTATTCTCAGAAGCTCCCCTCAACTCTCTGGAAATACTCCCCCCCCCTCCGGAAACACTATCTCCGTTCCCCTTTCTGTTGACATTTTTCACTCAAGGATGTCCCACAATTTGTAACCTCTCACTTGGACGAGGTGGGTTATGTGACTTGGGTGTATCTAGTTTAGTGTAGTTTCATTTCACAGTGTGTTATTATTAAACGAAAAATTCGTTATGAAACCATTGTTCAGCCAATTTGGCGTTCGCCCAACAAATCTGAAATATTCTTTGGACATGTTGGAACATGCAAAAGATGTATTTGCATCACTTGTTTTTTAATTTGTCGTTCAGCCTACGCGGGAAGGGTAAGGTAAGCGTCATGTTGTCAATTTTGGCACCAGATAGGGAAGTAAAAAGCCCCATCTAAACTCCCTGGGGTAAAATAATTTAGATGTAAATTTAATATAGGTATCTGGATTGTTCAAAAAATATTACTCATTCTTTCCAGTCTATGTAATACAAAACTGCTGTAAACTGCTTGCTGACTACAGTGACCTAAAATACATATCACAAAATATGATGGGCCTGACGTTTCGATCCTAGCAGAATCTTTTCCAAGGGCAAAATGACAAGCGGACAGGACAATCAAGCAAACAGGGCCGGGGAATCGACCAGGCATGGACGAGTGCAGGAGGACAAAAGGAAAGGTCAAGAAAGCTGCAGGCTGGATAAAGGTGCAAGGGGTAAAGGGGACTGCATGAAAGGCATTCTTTCCAGCCTTTCAGAAATCGAGATTTGTTGCTATATACCTCTTTGATGAAAACTAACTAGTTATTTGCAACATGATGTCTTGGTTCTTTTAAGCTGTGCAATATCCTCCCAGTACAATTAAGTTAAATTCCCACAGGAACAAACTCTCACTGTTTTGGAAGATATACTTCTTTGTTCTTGTTTGTGGTTAGAAAGGGAGTAGCCTTGGTTTCGAGCGGTAGAATAAACAAGCGTAGCACCTGTGCACTTCAATGTTTTCACTGGTTTGTTTTTTATTCTTGTCGACCGCGGCCGCAAGTGGACCACAGAGTTAGATTTGTGTCGTCTTCTGGGCACCCTGCCAAGTTGGTGAGGCGCGCATTTTAACGTGAACTTGGCTAAAGGCCAACGACTGTTTCACAATGCTTCAGTTTTGTCTTGTACAGCCTATTTCAGATCATTGTTCAATTGAGATTCCACATTCCAATAATACCCTACGCCTTTTCCTCTTCGTTGGTTTGTTGTTCTTGGTCCGATGCTGTAGCATCCCTTTGGAGAAGCCTTGAGTTTCCCCATTAATCGGAGACAGCTTTCAATTTTCATTATTGGGGGAACACCAGGCGATGTGTTTGCTTTACTTAGCCTATAAGTATGTTTTCTGTTTTTGTGTCCGTTTGTAGCTCGGGGATTTTGTTGGACCCCTTACGTAAATGAACCTGTGAATATGAGGGAAAATGTACAAATCCAGATTTGCCTGGCCACAGACTTTGCTGGAACGATTTTTCCGTCGTGAATTTCTTATTTAAATCATGAAACAGTCACTTCAATGTTATTGTTGCTCTGTTTTGCTGTCGAGGCAGTTCTTATTTGAGCAGCCTGTAGTTTCGGGTGTTGCCTAACTTGTGACGTTTTACAGCGCGCACAAACGGGTAAACACCGATTAACTCATCAGTATGTTTTTGTGTAGGCAACAATAACACTGAGCATTTTCCCGGCCTCCCACGAATCTATTTTCCTAGACAGGCAACTATGTTATCGACTTGTATATTTGTGTTTTTTAATCCTGTACCCCCTTTTAATGCTCCTGATCAAAGAACACGAATTTGCGAATTCGGGGGAGGTTAAGCAGATGTTATCGTGTGATTCCGACGTAAGGTTTATAACGGCCGTTCAAGCTGGGAAGCTCGAAAATGAAGTTGGCCGTGTACATTGCTATTTATTTTTCTGTTGTATTGCATCACTTCTATATAAAGTCAAAGTCACTCATTGTCTCATCCACACAGTTTCGTCAGTGCTACAGAAGGTTAAGGGCCGTATGATTGTCATGACCATCCAGGGTCGTGAAACAGCCGTACCAAGGCAACTGTGACGGATGGAGACAGGCACACAACAGGACTACGATAAGCTATCTGGGGGCAGAGATCAACCCTCTCGCGTGCCAACGATTTTGGTAGGCTATAGTGTGAGCCGTGAGACGTTGCCTGTGACGGGGCACGTTCCGCGCACGTGAACCAATATACCGGTAACGTAGGAACACTGGAGGAACACCTGACACGTCAAGTGTGGAGGATAGTGAGGTATCGGCCTCTATGTTGGCCGAAATGTTAGGAAAGTTGTGAGAGTGGACTGAAGGGTAGAACTATAAACAGATAGGGAAGGGGGATTTTTTTCAGTGCAAGCACTGGAATTTCTAACTCAATTCACTCCGTTTTTCTTTGAAATTCCTTTACAAAATGAAACAATTTTAGACCTACATGTAATGCTCAGAACGTGTACTGTGCACGAATCATTGTGGCTTCTTTCAGAAACAATGTACATGTATAAACAGTAATCCTTTTTCCAATTCGCTTTTCATGATAGAACGGGGCCCATTTTCGCAGAACACAATCTAGTGGCTGACGCGCAGAACAATTGTGGTTACACATGGCAAGGACACCAATGTTTTGGGTCTTTGCCAGCAAATCGCCACGCTCGTAAAAAGACTACTACTGTGACTGGTTTTGACACTGACCACGCTTTGATATCAAGGAACTACAAGTGATGCAATGCTGACCACTGTTCTATTTGTGGAGTGAAAACTGTCATTACTCTTAGAAGCACGGTATATCCTTATAAAACACGAACTTGCTGGAACCATATACTAGGCTGTCATGTTCTGAGCTGGCTTGAATTGAACAAGTATAGAAACATAAAAGTGCTGATGACTGTCTCCATAGTAATAAAGATTGGCACATTGTTTTCAATCAGTTGTTAGTTAGGCTTGACGGTTTTTATTTATTTATTGTGGTTTTAATTTATTTGATTTAATTTACGGGAAACTGAGAAAATGTCAGCAAAAATAAACCTCGAGGACAATCCTTGGAGGATGGCAACAGATAAATGCTGCATTGACCAAGACGTATTGCTGCCTATTATTATTTTGCACTAGACCGGTGCCAAGAAACAAGCTAACTCATGCCTTGCTCCGTAAAGGACAGAACTTTCCCACGGTCAACCCAACACTCTAGCTACCTAATCACATCGATAGAGAGGGCCAAAATATCTCCTCCATTTCCTTTCTCTTAAACTCGATTCTTTTGGATCGTGTCCGAGTTTTTGACAGCTGCTCGTATCCGATTCCATAGCTGTGTGCATGTGTGCATAGTATCTATATTGCTTATTTAGTTTGTGGCTGTTGGCAGAGAGATGTTCGAGTAAGAGAAGTTGTCGAGTTGTTTATCATTCCTACAAATGCTTTGGACAGCAAATGAAATATAAGAACCAAGCCATTTTGCAGGTTCTGAATGAAGCCCAACTACTCTGTTTACAAAGTTGACAAGGTCGTGACAAAATATTCCTACTCTGGTCTGCGTAACTTCGGAGGAAAGTGGCCTCCAGCAACCCAGCCCTCGCGGGATACCAGCACGCCCATTACCTCTGCTCAAAGAAGACCAAAGAAATATCAAAGGACTTTCTTCTTTTGAAATATGAAAAAAAGAGGGCACCAGTCCCCTTTACAAACTATTAGACGCCTCTTATGGTACCGCCTTAGGCCACACTTATTTCATGTTCAGACTCGCTGCCAAAGAGAATAAAGATAAATTTGGTCAAGTTTCAATTTATTTTCCCCCATTTATTTTGAAAAATCTATGAATCAAGTAAACAAAGAAGTCTGTCCCACTTTTACATGTTCTGTTCAGTTATTCGATACAATTTGTCTTTGAGTTAGTTATCGATTAATCTATGGAAGACTAAAAATTGCGGCCGCTTTATAAGTACGGATAAGATTTTGTTCTCATAAAGAAGACAATTCTCCTGACCTGCTTACGCCCGTATATGTACAAAGGCATCGACACGCTCGGCTTACCCCTTGTCACGTTCTCGGCTTTTCTCCAACAACGTTCGCCGAAGTGGAACCTTGAAGGGGTATGCATACAATACATATGTTGGTTGCTCAGGGATACGCTCCAAGGACACTTTTTTTTCTACGAAGGCAAAGTCTATGAGCCACGTGTACGTTTTTGGTGCCAAGATGATCATGCACGGAAAGATTGAAAGAAGAGGGTGGGTAGGGTTGGTGTTGCTAGAGAGTGGAAGCTCCCAACGAGTTACGTGTGAGTGTGTGCACAAAATGCAAGTTTAAGTTGAAACCATGAACAAAATATGCTTATTTAATTTTTCTACAATATTTTATCCCTTCTGAATCACATTTCACTCGGACCACGTGCAAATTTGGACAGGATCCAATTGAGGATAACGCAGCTGGATTTAAGTTTCGAAAGGCTTTTACGTGTTACATGAAGGTGAAAAACGGGAAACCGTTGACTTTTGAGGGCATTTGATGGGAAGCCAATAGTTTGTTGAACTTAGCTGCAAAGTGCAAGTGACGAAGGTCTGTTAGTGGTTCGTAATTCATCTAACATGAACTTACCTGTTACGGTTCAGTACGATGACCTAGTGTTGAACTAAAACATTAGCTTGAACATTAACAACTTAAGCCAATTTAATTAATTTCAAGATTCCCTCGTTATCACTTCAAATGTGGATTGCCAGTTAACAACATAATGGGATCATGTTGCTGGTTTACAAGAACTCGTACAAATTCGGCTGTAGTGGTTCGGTCGCTAAAGATAAATGATAAGTGAAGATAAATGAATTAGTTATAACTTCAAAGAAAAGTTTAAAGAAAAACACTTAATGCGACCTTTTTAACGTCAAATTAGAGTGTGTATTGAATTACATTATGCCTATATTAGTGCGTATCGATACGCTGACATCCACAGCCGTATCCTGGACACTTGTAAAATCTTTGAAATTCTGTAGTTACTTTTGAGCTCTCACTGGATGCACTTTACTCATGCTCGGAAAATGTTTACTCTTTAAATGGCCAATAACTCTGATTGAGGCAATATGCTACCCATAATGCCTTGATACACCTGAGCATCCATCACAGAGAAGTGGTCCTTGCCAAGCTGCCTGTATCAGGCGTTGGGTACAAGTGAAGCCTATCCAGTATCCGTTGCATTCTGTCATTCCATTGCCTTGTTGCGACAATCACGTGCTCATTTGGGCCTCTGATCTTTCACTTTCGTTTTCACCGAGAGTGCATTTCATCAAACAAGCAGCTCACTTACTTTCAATACTACCACGTGCCATTAGACGAGATGACAGCATGCCAGGAACACGAGCGGGTCTGTGTGAACTATTAAAAAGGGTGAACGAGGGGGGAGTATTTAGGGTAATATACGACTATCTGTCACGGTTGGTCTGGTCGCTGGCGTGCGACTGGCACGCGTCTGTCGCACTGCTCACTGAGCGTAGAAACAGCGAGAACTAACTCAGAAATACTTTCACGAAGTCCAACTTAAGATTCTGCAATTAATATGTAAGATAATTTACTCATTTATCAGACGTTGTCCTGGAGCTTGCGTCCCCAGTAGACCAGTTATGCTCAGACTAGTTCAGTCTTTAGTTTAAAGAGAGTGGTTGGAACTTGTATTGCTCAAAAGATTCGTGCGAAATAAACATGCCCCTTTGTGTTTGCAATCGACAACACTGATCGCTTGTGTATAGTATACAAGCACGTGTTTTATCAACTTCACCACAAGCATCTGATGGAAATGTCACACTTTTGTGGGAATTCTTCGAAATCATTTGCCTGCCCTAACCAATGTCTTTGTCAATGTCAAAGCTGCTGGAGAACCTATTTGTTTTGTCGTATATAATGAATTTCATTTTATAGCTAATATGACCCAACGCCCTACAAGTAATAAATTATCACCACTCATTTTTAGGGTTAGCAATATATTGTAAATTTCATTTTCACCGGATGTAAACTCTGAGAGTTTAAACTGTTAGGTGAATGAACGGAGCGAAGCGGTCGTAACATACACAGCGACAAGTGATATTTGAAACGAACAAATATTAAACAGTCAACAGAAAAGGGCTATGAAAATGAATTATGATTGCTCCCACGCTAAGTTGCGCCCGCTTTGTCGAATGATCATCCTCGCGATCTCCTTGCAATAATTGGAAGGCTTTTAGAGACTTCAAATCCATATTAGATTTCGTTTCAGGGGAGTTCTTTCCACCTCGGGTTATTTAGTCTCCCGCGAGGGAGCGTTGCACCATGTCTCCGATCTCAACTTCCTCTTCGCGTCAACAGCTAGTCAGAGCCGTGGCGCCGATCGCCGGAATTGCCGACTGAAGCGCCTCTCCATAGCCTCTCTCAACATTTACCTTGCAGGCTTTGAAGATTCCCCTTGTATGCTTCCTCCTAGGTCAGTCTTGTCAAGCAGTGGATTCCAGGCTCGATGTCAACCATCCCCGGGGCTTTTTTGTGTAGATACCCGGCCAATTCGTGCAACAATGTAGCGCCTAGCTTCCGCTTGATGCGGCCTGGGTAACAAGCGACAATCTCCTGAAGATTGTGCGATGCCTGATAGGCCCAAATGATAGATGATACACCGCCGAGATGGATATATGAAAGACGATAAGATAGGATTAGAGAAATGAAACAGCCGCTGGGGTTTCACCTGACAGGACTTGTAAGATGAAAGTTTCAATGAGGAACATGACATCATTGTTTTCCTGCTAAAAATATGTCGGAGGCCCAAGGCGATTTTTCCAGATTCGACGTGAGCCAGGCTATCGTCGCTGATCGAGAGTTGAAATCTCCCGATTAAAGAAAATAGGCCCCTTCATTTTAAGACAAATATTGCCTAATGATAAGACTTGGGAATTATGGATATCACACTCCAAGACACTACGATTAGAATAGACGTAACAGTGAGCTCATTGCGTCAAAGAAATCATGTGTAGTTTAAGATGGAAAGCTTGCGGTAAACACCATGCAATATCTCTTTTTTGAGTCTGTGTGGTTCTGATAAGAACCGGAGAGGCTCTCCGTCTGTCACCATGAATAGCTTGAAATCCCATGTGTAGTTTACTTTATTATATCGTAATTAAGGTAGATTTAACGTACTGATTTACTCTCAGTACATAACCATCTCAACTCAGTAGTACCCCGGCCAAGCACTGTAGCAACATTTTATTTTGGAGGTTGACATCTTCCTATGTTGCAGGCCCTGGCAATGTGGATACATCCTCATTTGGCAAAATGACTGTCACCCTACGTTTTTGATTTACTTCCCGAAGCTTGCAGCCACAAGAACGAAATTTACCGTTGTCAAATACTGGAGAACACAATAGATTAAAAATTGAGGACGAAATCATCAAATGGTCGTCGGTCAATACTGTGATTGGCTCAATATTTGTGAAGGATTTACAATCACAAACGGACCCAGAGTGATCAATTGACAAGTAATATCAAAGCTGGGCGGTGAGACGAGTGTCGTGCTAGTGTTTGGCCGTGTCGCCCCGTTGGCTGGCAGTCACACCCAGTCCGTCGCCGCACGCTGTCAATGGCGTCCAAATTCTGGCCATGGGCTAATGATACTGCATGCTGCAATGTCCCAAAGAGAGCGCCACTAAAAAGTAATGGAATTGTGAGAATCTGGACAACGACTGTTTGAATATGAGTTCAAATTCAGAACGGTACTTAAAAGTCGAAAATTATCACAAATTTCCTTTCCTTAAATACTGTCAATAGAAACATTGGTCGAGTGCCTAAGACTCCAGACATTTGCATATTTTCTTTGACACACATAGCTAATCTTGCCTCCTCCCTTTGGAAAAACCTAGATATTAACACTTCTGTCCTATGAAACGTCTGTGTCCACCACTTGCAAGCATTTAACTATACGTTAAATCTTGTTTCCCCCCAAGAAATTGATTACACTATGATATCACAATAATACTTCTCTTGTATCGAAATAAAACAGTTTCTTTTCAAATGTGTGGTAGACCGTACGCATTGAGGATGGCCATGTTTGTATCTGCAGTGGACAATTAACAGTGCCTAAAATGGATGATAGTTACAGTGATTGTACAACATACCTGAGGAGATACCCCACTGATCTCTAAGATCGCCAGGTAGCATAACTAATTAGCATTGTCTTGTAGGTGCCACGTAAAGAACGTCTTTACTTTCCACCTAAGATAAAAACATGGAATAGCTACAGACTAATACAGCGATGGAGTAAATGAACAGTCTGTTCACCCGAGTAAATTGATATGACCCTTAGATTACCAGGTGGTACATTTCAAGGGATGATATTGACTTTATCTAAATGCTTGTCGCCATTGTGTTTGTACAGGTAAGATATCCGTTCATTCGGGTAATTGATCTATCGTTTTTATATCAATTTAGATAATAACTTAAGCCGTTGTTTGGACATCTGCTTTGAGTGATTTTAGAATCATATTCCGATTTTTCAGGAAAGATTTGAGTCTCGGAGAACATTGTACTGATTCAGAAACAAAGAAAAACGAGGAGAATGCATTAACATTCGTCTTCGTAAATTATCTCCAATACAAATATGTTATAACAATATCGTAGGTGAAATTCTGACATAAATATGGACTTAGCTTAGTTGTAGTTGTCAATTTATAAGAAGCCTGTAGGACGTTAACTTTGGTCTACAATTTATTTCCACGTGACACTTTTTGCACTTTCATTGGTTTTTCCCTATTTTCCACACTTGGTGAAGTGACGAAAAGGGCGTGGAAGCTACTGTGGCCGCTGTCAAATGAGTTTTAACTTTCACCAGAATCCGTACTGGCACCAAATTTGGATAAGTAATATGATCAATACATGACTTTCAATTTGTATAGTTGCCGTGTTATTCAACTGTTGGCCGAATTGGGTAGAAACTACAAGATAATTGCTTGCTCTTGACTCTTGCATCATTTTAGGCTTGACCGTATTATGTGCTGCTCACAGTACTATTCCTCGACCTTGACGTTGACAGTCACATCGCCAACTGTTGATAATATGACGGCATCATTAACCTCTTATTTTAACATTATTCATCTAGTATTTTTTTCAACGCAGTAAGAAAATCTCTGTAAAAACGGTTGGTTGGTTGGTTGGTTGGTTGGTTGGTTGGTTGGTTGGTTGGTTGGTTGGTTGGTTGGATGGTTGATTGATTTTGCCGTTGGGCTACTGAAGTGACACGAATATGACCGGCATTTGAGTCGCTTGAGAAGGAAAAGATGGGCAATTGTCTCGGCATCGGAGGACTTTAGAGGGAACTGTTAAAGTGACGCAAGCACTACATCCGTCATTTCTCGGCATTAGTTTGGTTATGTCACCGTCACCCAACGTATTATACATGTTAGATAACAAGGTATTACTGGCGCAGGTGTTCCATTTCATCCAGGCTAATCAGTGCTAGACTCTGGCTTGTATATCTTTCTTTCCTAATCCATCATTTTGACGTTTAGAAATCCCGCCATTTTGAATCTGAGAGTGGTTGCTTTGTCAAGAAAAATCGACGACTGTTTGATACGTACAAAGCTTCATGTTGTGAATCGGCGGCATTCATTTGGAAATTTGCCAATGAAAACTAGCACAAGTCTTTACTGTGAAGGAAGTCTTGGACCACCATTTTTTCAGCAATATATATCAAACAGCAAACAACCGTTGATACAATCCAGAGATTGAGTTGTGGCTCATCTCCAAGTTCTTGGTAGCCTAAGCGCGTATCTTGCAGCTCGATCACCTTGGGAACGCATTAGTCTCGCTTCATAAAAACCTTGTCCTCTTGCATCTTACCTCTCCAGGGTTAGGAGTACTTTGTAAGCTGCAGAAGAAAAGATTTCAATGTGAAGGTGGCTGCACTTTTGACTTTTTTTTTTTTTACTTCGAGGCACGTTTCAGTAAAGCAGAAAGAGAGTGGTTTGTAATTAACTGAATTATTTAGACTTTAAATCAGTTCGCCTAGTTAGTTCATCCCTGGCCTATAGTGCATTGATATCGCACACCTCGCTGTTCCTGACTACCGATGACTGCATCTTCGTAATGTTGACTTTTTCTCTCCTTTTTCAAAGAGTGAACCATTATTCACTTTTCAATTCAGGTAAACGCCAAGCAGCCGAAAATTTATCTCGCTTTTCCGACTGGTCTTCCTCCAAAACGAACAACGGGAAAGTGCAATGCGAGGCCAAAAATGTAAACCAATCTTAGAAGATTTACAAGAAAATCAGGATCTTCACGGAGTTTCTTAGATCAGTTGTAAAGTTATTCGTGAGTTTTATTGGACATAAACTGGTACATCACCTCCTCTCAAAGTACAGTTTTTGCTTCTGTCTGAAATAAAACTCCAAGGGTTTTGCCTGTTTATTGACCACCTTCCGGGGTGTGCAAAAGGCTGGAATTTATTCACTTCTCAGTCGGCCATACTGGTTGCTTTTTCCTCTGTCTGTTAAAGTCGTTGTTTTGAAGCACTTTGAGAAAAAAAGTGAACTATTTTACTTTTCAAATTGTTATGTGAAATAAAATGCTCATATCTGTCTAGCTGAAGAAGAAAGGCTTGGAATCAGATTAAGTGTATGCAAGCGTGTATTAAAAAATAGAGAAGTTTCACCACTTTTTATGCTGAAACATTAGGACAGCATCACAATACACTCTTTGGAAATGTTAATCTTCGGCTTATAAAACATAAGATCAGAGCACATCCAGACAGACAGGTACTCTCTGTTGCTCAACGATGTGCTAAGCTAACATGTCATGTTTTGGAGCCTTAGCTAGATAGCTGAGTTATGTGACCATGTTTCCCCTGGTTTGCATGGATACTTCATTCTCATGTCACAACTACACCATTTAGCAAAAGGCAATCGTTTGTGATTGAAAGGCAACTGCCTTTCGGTCACTACAACCTTGGAAGCGTCTACCGTAGCAACAAGGCCTATGCTCGGTCTTTCTAGAATGATTTTTTTGCTCTCATATCCTTTATGTTTTGCCGGAAAGTCTTAATAGCTCAATCTGATCCTCTTTCTCCGGAACATCCATCCGGGTTGTATCCCATTCGTTCTACCACTGATCGGCAGCAAAAAACAACAATGTAACTCAGAGATACAAATCTGACACATCCAATAGCGTATTACCAAAGACGTGGTATTAAAATGCAATAATGCAGTTTATCAGGAGATGGACTGATTCGACTAATAACGAATGGCCCAATAGGGTTTGGGACAAACCAATTAATGTCCATCTGATCATGCTGTGGACAGACACCCGATGGGGGAAGTTTGTACACGACTCAAACAGAGTGTTGTTCACCCCGTCTAGTTTTTCCTTATATCTAAAAAAGGGTTTTAGATATAAGGCCACAAGAGTAACACAAAAGTTAGAATGGTAAGAAACAACTGTCACTTTCGGATTCTTTGGGTGGTTAGATACATGGCATAGTTTATATTCCCACAGTATTTTCCATTTTTATGGAAATGGAAACTTGCAACTCTCGACACTTACATTTCGGCGAGTACAGGGGCGAACTTGAAACGAAGGAGATTATCCAAACAGAGAAAAACAAAAAGGGAAAGGTGGGTCCCAAGCCAACAGTCTTAACCAGTATTAAGCCAGACGCGAGCCTTGACGTCTGACCTTAGGATTGGGACAGCCAGACGCGAGCCTTGACATCTGACGTTGGGATTGGGACAGCCAGACGCGAGCCTTGACATCTGACGTTGGGATTGGGACAGCCAGCCGCGAGCCTTGACATCTGACCTTAGGATTGGGACATAAGCGTGCAGACCACTAATTCAAGTGAGAATTTTTGACCAGCTCATTAGCATTAAAAGTGCCCCCACAATAACTTTTGAAAAAGGAGATTGTTTGGCCCCCAAAATGGTGAGATTGTGTAAACCGTTGCCAGGATCAACTCCCTGGGTCTTTGAGCTTTCATATGAGAGCAGAAGGGCTAAAAACTACGGTTGAAAAATGGTCCTAAGTGCCCGAGAAACTTGAGGGTTGCCACTTGAAAAATGGCTGCAATCAGACTTCGGAAAAATCACTTTTTGGAGGGTGATTTTGTATTGTGGGAATAATTAAAAATGTAATTGATTAACCCACAAAAAATTGAAAAGAAATTGAAAGATAAGTGACCAGACAAGAATTTCATTTGTGTTTCAGAAATCTCGGGGATGTTGGCGTACATGCTATTGGGCCCTGAACGGTGCTGATTTTACACTGTTTTCAACGGGGCTTGAATTAGTGGACTGGACCCATAACCCATCTTGCCATAAAGAATATCACCACTATGCGTAAGTTATGACTGCGCAAGTTTTATTTCTGTACACCCTGAAGTCATACGCGTTCCCAGGGCGAGTGCAGTATCCTGCTTCGGTCGTATCCTTCACCCTCGGATCGCCCTATCCGGCGCAGGTCTGCCATTTTCTTCAGCAATGCAGCCTATAACAGCTAGTTCACTATTATTGCTGACGAACGTGACAAGGACAATCGCACTGAAATGTCTGTTAGTCCATGTCGTAGTAGATTTATGTGTGTGACTTCAATTCCAGCGTCCGAATCTGTGGTACCGTTGAGCCTTCTCCAGACACGAATCATTCAATATAGAACTGGAATGAAAGTTCTCATGATATGACTTCGCCCCCTGAAGGGTCCACGCGGGACCCGTCGACGTGACCGGCAATGTGTCGGTGCTGATTTCGTATTTTTGAGGTTGATGAATGACCAGATATGAACAGACATCCCCTTAAGTGCCCATTAATGATGATGTACTAAAACGATGCACTCCAGACCTCCTTACACAACGAACTTCTTTCAAATCTTGTGGGATTTAAAACATATTTTATTTCAGAATGAAACTAACCCTGACCTCAGTGGTGTTCCGGAGTACACTTGCTGTTAAAGTAGACTTAGATTTCAGACCTCAAAAAGTTGTGTTTCTGGGAACCTGCCTCTAACAAAGACGAACATTCAGTTGTTCTATTCAGTTGATATTCGGAAGGAGGGAAAAATGATCCTCCTTTTTTTGGGGGGGGGGTCAGACATTGACAGTAACTGAACAGAACGGCTCATCATCTGTCTACACTCCAGCAAATCTTCACATCTCAAAGCCATTGCGCAAGGTTTTCTTTCTCTGTATTTAAAGCCATCTGTAAGTCGTGTTCAATTATGGCCTTTCAGTCAGCCCATGGCGAAAGGACATCTCCATGGTCAGCCTGGATACAACTGGACCATGACCTGAGGATCGTTGACGAGGGATGAGCCAAAGGCCAAAGTGAAAGTTCGTCACTGCCTACATCTTGTGATTCGCAATAGATTTAACAATTAAGTGGCGACCAGACGTCGCATGCTTAAGTTTTTATCAAGAAAGCTTTGCGACTATAGACAAAAAAGGCGGCACGATCCTTTCTCCATGACTAGAGAAATTCTCTTCTGTTCTTACATGATTTAAGCGCTGGCTCCGCCAGTATCAAGGATATTGCCTTTTCGCCAACGATTGTACAGACAGGGTGCCGCCACTTTATTCTTCGCTCTACTCCGTTCCTTGCTATACCTTATGGGTATTTTTTTGCCGTCAAACTTGTCTGAGATAACAAAGACTAATCTTTTATTACTGGTCCTGGCTTGATCAGTTACGTTTTGGACATCTTGGCCGATGCTTCCAAAGTTTTATGTAGAGTATGCCAATTGATACTGTGGGTACATCGAAGCAATGCTAACATAAAAAAATATTTCCAGCTTACTGGTTGGGGTGATAGTGCCGTCACACCTATGAAAAAAGATTTACGATCAAACTATGGATCCTACATCCATAGTTACATTGATCACAAACTCAGCTTCGGTGGACACTCATGATATGTATTTTTCTTATCAAAGGCAAAGAAAGCAGTCGTCTTCTTTAAAATGAGCGGCATCTTCTTTGATCTCCTTCGCTCCCGTTGCTTGTTAACGTCTCTGGCAATCTCTCAGACGACCATTCCACAAGGTAGTTCATCTGCGCCCTCATTATTGTACAGGATCGACGGCTGTTCTGTGTATTTGAATGTACTGGCTTTCACCGTGTAATGCAGTTCTCTTCAATCAGTTGCAGAAGGAATAGGGGAAAAATGCCCAGTACTGTAAATTAAGACATAAAAACAAAAGTCAATTATATTGACTTATATTCCAATGTGACTTGGCAAAGAGCCAGAGTTTCTAATGAAAAAACGTTTCCTTATACAACAAAGATGGTGCTTGCGTCCCATTATGTAGTTCCCGAACTAGGCACAGTTGCCATGTTCTAGTTCTTTGGCTATCTGCTCCAGACGCTATAAATCAGGAAAGACTTTAATACAGGCCTGAAAGATGTACGTTGTTTTTGAAGATGCTTATGCTCATTTTACAACAATGTTCTTCTTCCTCATTTGCCTGAGGTTCAAAATCTCCTTCACCTAGAGATATACACATGCTGTACTTTAGAACCCCACCCTAGGGACATCGGACATCATGGTTCGTTGATTATGAAGTTATGCAAAACCTCGAGAACTTGCAAAAGAAACGACCAAGCAGAATTGACTAGTCGTTTCTTTTACAAGTTCTCGAGGTTTTAATTTGTTTTAAGGTTACCACCTTTCTAATAAACATCTCCAATAACTGCATGAAAATAACTGAAAACAGAATAAAAGGAACTAGCGGTCGACCTAACGCCATCGGCGGGGAGGGTGAACAGAACCTCTTGTCAGAGGTCCGTCCCCTGGTGCCCAGACCCCTGCTATTTTTAAAATGTACACGACTTACGCACAAGTTGCAGTTTGCTTTGGTGCCTCTCTGAAAAAAAAATGAGTGCACCCCAGGTAACCCTGGAAATTTTCCCCTTGTTGCTTCAGTGAGCCTACCCTTGCTGATGAGCCTTTTACACTCTCGAAAATCGTTCACTTCATGAAATAGTCGTACGTAAGACTTTCTAGTTTCTTTCTTCTTTTTTTCTTTTTCGAAATCCTTTGAGGCCTCTGCTGTTTCCTTTGATTTTCTTGGTTATAATTGCCCGTTCAGGTGGCTTCAATTGCAGAAGTTGGTTGGCCTAAATTACCGCGTAATTTATGACAGGACTGGATTGTGCACGACCCATCCTGTGTTTGTTGGGTTTTCAACTCTGTACTTGCATGGGGACTGTCAAACCACGAAGGAAGGAGGGGATGGTCAAACATACTGGCTGGCGCTGAAATTAGAGGAATGTAATCCCATATCCAAGAAGCACGATTATGTGATTAGGCCTACAAGATTTACAGTGTAACATGTTTGTTGAGGAAGCACATGCACCTTTTTCAAATTTTGAGCATCTGGAAAATTGGCTCTTCATTCATTAGCAAGCTTTTCAAACTTCCCCTAGTTCCATGGGGTGACAGAATAATATAGACCACCCACCCTATGGACAGCAGATAACTAGCGACTTTCACGACCACAGCTCACATTGTCTACAGTAACTGTACATCAGCTAAGAAGAAGAAAAGAGTTCCTACTGTTGAGTGAAAACCTCCCAGCGGTTTCACACAACACAATCGTTGTAGTGTACTTGACCCACCGACGAAACGCCAACTCCTGACCACTGAGAATTTAGTCGAAAGAAGTTTGGATTAAAAGAAACCGCTTAAGTGAGGCTCAAAGAAGCCGAGCGGTTTCTTTGACCTTGGCGAGCGTTAAAAATACCATTTTGAATTTGTGGTTTCGCCTGTCGCTGAACATGATGCATATCCAATCATGCCAAAGGTCAACTAGGCTTTGACGCCATCGTGTTCAAATGAGATTCGGGTCGATGCCATGATGTAAGCACAACAGTCATGCCTTACGTATAATTACTTCTCTTTAGTCCTGTGTTAGCTATGTGTCCGATTTTTTGGCTTGTGGTTCTCATTGTTCATCACTCACACTCAATTCAAAAAACCCACGATATTATTAAAGTTTGCCAGCAGCGACTGTCTGCTTATAGAGTGGAAGAAGTTGTCTTTTTGTGTCTCATAATCGGATTGTTCTGTCGCCGCATGTCTGTCCTTCAGAATCGCACCGCATCTTTCCTAAACTAGACACAGCATTGAAGATGCCCTCACAGAGATAATAATTTTTTTTTACATCTGTCTGCCTTTGAAAGTGATGTCTGATTCTATAAAATGACGGCGCCGACATAAAATGTCTTTTAACTTAATGAATGTCATGGCCGATGAGAGACTGATTCAACTCAACACTCAAAATCACTTTCTGTACAACGTAGCGGCGACCCCTTCGGCCAATGACGGAAACCTATTACGCTTCTCTAGAATATTACATTATATCCAGAGTTACTTCGTTCAATAAAGACCCGATAGATGCACTTCAGAAGATCCTTTGGGGTTTTCATCCAAGGAAACCTCCGTATATTCTCACCAAAAGATTCGAGTGGTTAGCGTAGGTGGCACGATGTTTGGTTGTCAAAGTGCATACCCCTCTCCAACTCTATGCAATTTGACCGAGCTGAACGCTGGCTTGGATGCACCCAGGGTTCAGGATTGATTTAATGTGAGGGTTGGGAGGGTAAGAGTCCATGTTCCTCAACCCAACATGGTTCATTGCCCGACGGTTGTCCTCCAAGCTCTCTTTGTAAAACCAAATGTCCCTTTTTTCATCAACGAAGTAACTTATTTTTATAGCACGCACGCCATCTTTTCTTTTTGAATTTTAAAAATATTTTTAGTATAATGCATTTTTGGTGCCTGGGATTCAAGGTGATCGATGGTTTTATATATTTGGTAAACCAGCCCTCACTGCGCAACCAACACTGTGGCAAAAATTTCCTTTGAATAAAAAAAAAGAACAATAAATATCGAAGGTCATCAGTCATGAAAGATACAAATAAGAAAACATCGATTTTTGGCAAAACCGTTATTACATTTACTTTCCATAATCAAGATAATATATTGGAATATCCATACAATGTCTCAACTTCTGAAATGAAAGCAAGATAATAAGGCTCACGTTAGCTTTGATTGTGTCACCTTACAAGCGCCCCTTACTTGTAAACGTTGCTTTGGCAACATTTGTGTTTTCACAGCTGATTAGAGACTAGGCGACATGATCAACATGGCAGGCGCGTTCAGCCGCCAACTCCTGTCGTGTCTTGTGCTCAAGGTTCCGAAGAAGCGCCAGACGCGGTTAGAAACCCACTCATGCAGCAATATTAATTGCCTTCAAAATATTAGAAATTGATGAAGAGGGCAGGTACGGACCAGAAAAAAGTGGAACAGGAAGGAAAAAAATTAAAGTCACTTGGCTTAAGTGAGAAATCCTGCTATATAGAGAGATGAACAAATGGGTCAAAGCGATAAAAAAGATAAAATAGTCTTGCGAAGTGTCTTCCCAGGCTACGATATTACACAGCTAGATTCACGCCTCCATTTCCATAATATTATAGAATAAGGTTACAAACCTGTCTTCGTTTTGTAATTGCTCACAAACAAGAGACGTGATGTGGGGAAATTATTTTGTTTTTGCTGTCAACACCATGCCCTGGAACGGGGTAAGGTTTTCCCAGTGCCGTTATAATCAGTAAAGGTCAACTCGCTCCCAATTCAAATCCATTCACGAACTTGGTCTCCACCCATCCTGACTACAGATTGAATGCCTTGCACAGAATTACAATCCCAATGGGATTAAAGTGTATCTCGGACAATTTTCAAAAGAGAGGTTATTCAGACACACTTTTGAAGGATACCAAATTTACGACACCAATTTGAATCGGCTGAAATCGACGTCTTCACTTTGACATTTGATCCGGAACCATGCTCACTTCAAACTTTAAATTGTTGGATCAAGAAGCACAAAAATTTTAATTGAAATTGAACCACTACGTTTTCAACGTTGAGGCACTTCATTCAAAATGTCCATCTGTTTCATACACCGGTCAGCTAATCGGTGCATCAATGCTACCCATATGTCTAGTAATATTTCAAACCTGTCCAGACCTCTGAACTGATTTGACTGCCGTGAGACCTACCATTGTTTGCACAATACCTAGCCTTCCATAACCTTCCATAGAACGCTAACCACATTTTTTATAAAAAGTAGATGGTTTATAGAAACCATACGGACGGACGTGAGACGGAAGGAACTCTTGGGTATAGGTTTACCGAGACCTATTGTAATGTCGTCACTGGTGAACCAGTCTTAGACGTGGGCCAATATTAATCATCCAGGGCAACAAATGCAAAGATAAAAATGGCTAATTCGGGATAGTGCGTGTGATCTCTAAATAACTTTATAAAAATATAAATTTGAGTCCTCCACAATAATGGATAGGGGCGTAAGTACCAAACGTCCAGTCGCTGGTTAATTATGAAATGGGGCCCAAATAATGACATGAACTATTTTCCAACCTTTATTCTCGAATTTATTTGAAAACATAATGGATTTAAATGATTTCTTGAGGCATTCCCGCCCCCGCCCAGCAGGGCTTATCGTCCTGCCTCACAACATTAGCCCCTTTCCTGTAAGCTAGATCTTCCATGAATATATAAACACCCATTTTAAGATACAAACCAACACATACTTTACACAGCTTAAGCTTACAGGCTGGTGTGTTTATCATCAAACAGCAAACTGCTTCCTGACTGGAATGATGAACAAAACTTGTCTTTTCAGAGACTGAAGTTTGATACAAGCAGAATCTTTCTCCGATGCAAAACACGAAACGATTGTTGTCTCTTCTAGGGACCAGAATGTACTGCAACCGTGACACAGAATGGTACTTGTAACTATGAATAAAGGATTATCAGCTTGCTTCCTCTTACTCGTGTCGTGCAGTTGCTCTGTGATGTCCCCTGAAATGAAATACTGAAAATGTAAAAAAAAAAACCTGCGTAATTTTCCAGTCCCTCCCCAGCACCGTACAGCATGACACAATGCCGAACAATGGACAGGTGAACTTTTTGGAGGTTCAATCTAGCGGGCTTTTTGTTTTGGCTGTGTGCCAGAAACGTGGCGTCTGGCGTTTGAGCCGAACTTGGGAGTCCGGAAACCACGAAAGGTACAATCCCAGGTCAAAACAGAATGGCGAGAAACATGCTCTTTAAAGTAACTGAAGTGCACAAAAATCAAGCAAGGAATCAATGAAAATCTATTCCCAAATCCGCCACCCGAGTCAGTAAGTGCGACTAGCAAAATGAACGCTTACGTACACCGTTACACAGTTACGCAATATCCTTCCTGCGGAAAGAAGTTTGTTGTCTTCACGAAAACCTCCACTTTTTTGTTTAATAGTGTTTTTGCCGTTGCAACTAGCCCTAGACAAAACAAACAATAACAGTGCATCCTCTCCCGCCGGTCTTGGCACTCGTATCATATCAATTAAACTCAACTTCAAGATCATATTCCAGGGCAACTAGCAAACCATTTCAGGTCATCCTGTATCCAGTATCCACCATTACCCCATGCCTTTACTAATACTGCCTAAACCCCAAGTATAACCATCAATTGCGATCACCTGGCTAGCACGAGCCGTTTTGGCTGAGCGTGTGCCGTCGTCTGGAGTTAACAAAGATGAAACTTGAGCCAGTCACGGGTCTGAGATACAGACACGCGAAGTTCTAGCTTTGGGTGTTTTTTTTCTATTTTCCTCCAGCTGGCTACTGATTCTTTTCAACTCAGCTGGGGACATGTTTTGATGTTTTGATCCCAACTTTCTGATGAGAAACAGAGGTTGTATTGTCATAGATAGTGGTAACACTATGATCAGAAAGGAACCTTGTTCCCCACCGCTTACAGCCGCCTTTGCCTCTCTTGAAATTTATGATCAAAATTGACAATATCCATTCTAGTTAGCTAACTTGTATCTGAAATTTCTAGTTCCAAATGTCGCCCCCTTGTTCCATTAGAAGCACCGCGAAGGTGCGTCAGACTACCCCAGGGATATGGGATACACGTTCATTTGTTGTCGAATTCGTTTTTTTTTATTAGTATTATTTAAAAAAAAAAGATGTTTACATTTCTCAGTGAGCAATCCTGGATACATTCGACGTAAAAATGGTTTTCTAACAATCGGGGAAAAGATCAATATCATCCAGAATACGAAGTTTATACATGTTCTGACAGTCTGAGTTTCCTTCATAGTGCCATCACAAACCCCAGCTCTTTACATTTCCACCACGCAAAGCTTAAAGTGTAGCTGCAATTAATTTATCTGAGACCCAGTTTTTCTGCAACTTTATTACTCTTCTTCGGTGTTATGAAAATTATTCCAATTCCTTTTCGGTTAAAGGCATTAAAAAGTGCTATTGTTAAAACATTACAAATAGCCCATGCTTTCCTGGACAACCGAGAGTGCTGTTGCTGTGATGTCATCCAGGTGCGTACAGTTTCTTTTCAAATTGTGGATCCAAAATTAACTCAATAAAAACATTTCTGAGAAAGGATTGCATGCTTGCTTATTACTAGGTACTTACACAACAATGAATCACTGAAGAATCACTGAAAATCGAGACCAGAAAAATCTTTTAAAAATTCAGCATTTTTTGTACACAAATCAATGCAACATTGAAAATATGGAAATTTTCAACAGCATAAAACCAAACACGTAGCAAAATACCCCTTAAAACAGTGAAACAAAAACTGAAAACGAGGTTAACTGAGACGTGAAGGCCAAGTTTAAACGTCTGTATTGAACAAAATTGCATTGCAGCTACCCTTTAAAATTTTCGTTCATTCGTCGTTGCTGCGTGGTTTAACCATTCATTATTTTGTCACGCAAGGATAAAGGAGTACATTAATCAGCATCTCCATCCACTGCGGTTGTCAAATCCTGATTCTGATCGAATTATAGCTGTCAATGATAACTTCTATCACGTCGGGATATTGTGGTTCAATTTGACCCAGCGTCCCGCTGAGGTCAAGCGACGTCATTGCCATCGCGTGTCGACAGTAATAAGGGTGTGTGCCAAACCTGTGCGCTTCTAAATAAAGAATAGCCACTTGGGCTTGACTGCCATCAAAACAGTAACTTGCTACCCCCTGGAGAGTGTTTCTTTGGAAAGACTAACGAGTGTCACATTAAGTTGATTTGTTTTTCTGGCATCATGCTGGCAGGGAAAAAAATGATGAAGGTTTGATGAGTCATATCTTTCCCCATAAAATTATGTCGTATGTCACGCTTGTTCCTTAGGTGTGGTTTCTGTTTACACCATTGATATTTATTTTCTTTCATCCATCAATTTGCCCATCTTGAAGGGTATAAAGCAAGGGTCTTTTTTCAAAAGGCACATTAAAGTTTGGGCTTTCTTTGCCTTTGGATACTTGAAAGTCATCTTGTTTAGTATTTCTTTATAACCTGACCGCCTATAATTATATCGTCACACCACACACGGGACATCATTTTTCTGTACGGACCATTTCCACCAACCACTTCTGCTGATACCAACACGCGATAAATACGGCCAAGACGATTGCTTTATGTCTAATTCTCCGTCAATCAATACAACCAGCTATTGTTCCGTTTGGAATTGTTTGGTGATCCCTGTGTTTACGTCTGGTACCAACACACTGAAGCCTCAAAGTTTACTCAGTGACAATACATGACCACAGTAAGGTGTTTATGCAATGACATGATGAAATAAGGATGACATTCAGTCTTCATAATCTGAAGATATTGCAAAGTACGAAATGGGCGTAAGAAATAACAAAGGGCAGAAATCACCTGCAGCAAAGGACTAAGATCGATAGTAAATCACGATTAAAAGAGGTGGTGCCAAACTTCAACGTGCGAATCTAAGGAGGATCTGAAATCTTCGGCGTAAAAATAACCCTTTGCACGAAATAAGGTAGAGACTTCGAGCATATAGTAAGTTTATCAATTAATTGTCTTTAATTAATTCAATGTTGAAATATTGCAAATAATTAAACATTATATACAATAAATTTACAGTACGAGAGCTTTAAACTTACAAAATTCATAGTTTACTGATTTTTCTACTTTTGTAACAGAAGGGTCAAAAAATTTTATAATAAGCTGTACATATTAATTACAAACTTCGCTTATCTTCAATTCTCCTGACCAAAAACCATAATCTTCATCACAAAGAGAAATAAAACCTGGCAATTTCAATGGTTCCAAAACAATACATCCTGAACGTGCCACTAGCGACAGGTACGCCTTATTATAATAAATATTAAAAGCAAAAGACAAAAAGGAGTAATAAATATTGAGTGTATCGCGAACCAAAATTGCACATGGTGTCTGCAAATTGGGAAGAGTTGGTAACCAATATGACTGCCACACATCAATGCATGATAAATGGATGATAGTGCACAATAAATGTTTCTTCATACATATTTTTCTACACATAGTTAGCAAATTCTACATGCCTTTCTGCATCGTTTCTTTTAACTCAGGAAAAATGTATTCCGAACAGACGAAATTCGGCTAGCACATAATTACGAAATTCTTGCTTTAGGCCAATACCTCCTCCTCAAACAAGCCAATGAAAAATCACTGCCACTCCATTCAGCAATGCTGTATTAAATTCGTCAAGATACTATCATGATGTCATTGTCTATAGAGCTATCTCTTCAGATTGAGTTGGAAGCACAAATGATCACAGATATCTGCCGATTCTCTCAATGATATGCCACCGAAAAAAACAAACAAAAGAAAAACAACACTGTACGTTTATATAAAAGGTACCCATAAACAATACTTGTACAAATCTCGTCTTGTAAATGACCCCAGACAAACTTCCAACTACAATCAAATCTGACTTAATCACTCAGACTGGGACAGATTCCATTTTTCAGAAGGGAGATTACAAAAACTCATATTAATTTTGCTCAGTGAGTTATCAAACTGCATGTAACAAGGAAAAGGAATGTAATTCCGAATTTCAATTTTTCGAGGGGCAAGGTGTGGGTCACACGAATCAGAAACATATTTTCCAAAATTGAAAAGATAAGATTACTTTTCAGCAACGGAATTGAATAAAAAACTGAAATGGACTAGGTGTATTGATGAAATGAAGTTAGAATTAACCATGATTTTAAATTATCACAGAAAATCTGGCCCATTTTTTTTAGAACAGAGAAGTGACAGTAGCTAGCAATGCTTTCTATTCTAAATAAAATGAGTCACAGCAGAAGTCATTCATGCATTTACAGCAGAGATCTACCTGTAAGTTATGTACTATGTTACAAAATGTATCTAAATTCGGCAATAATTTAGACTTTCTAACTCTCTCAAATGCTGACTGGCTGGTGCTTAAATACTTCGAACACTTCCAGTTTCTTTGGGCTCAAGACAAGAGATATGCAGACCAGTATCAAATCCATCGACAGCCACGCAGAAACTGAGTGATAATAGTCGGATGACAAACTCAGAATCAATTATCACAATATCACGAACAAATACATCAATACTCAAATTTCAGAGTATCAAAATGCCTTCAAAACTTTTCCAAAGCTGTCTTACATACAAAATCAAGTGCAAAAAAAGGTCACTTCATTTAATTTGGTAGAAATGCTCAGAGTTTATTCAATCTTAAATACTGGAATGGCATCTGTCTTCGTCAAGTACAACCATCCTCTCCAACACATATATCCTTAAAAACAAATGTTAACAAACCTTTTTCTTTTCCTGAAATTTTAAATTTACTTTTGCTTTGAAGAGAAAAGTCTGGAGAAGCAACAGCACCAATCCAAGGAGGAATGTTGGGCCATTAAACACCCACACATCTTGGATTTCTATCTTTCTGGGGATTGTCTTCCCATATAAACCAATCTTAAAGACAACTGTACACATACAAGTATTAAACACCATGCACAAATGATGCAAATGATGAAGAAAATCAACTGTGAACTGTAATGTGGTTTCAATCAGATTTCATCAAAATTGGAATGTCATCAGACAAACTTTGTGGAAATGTTCAAAGGTGCATTCATTCAAACAAAACAAAAAATTAGTACCTCAACTCCCTATGTAATGTGAAAAATAGATCGAAATTGGAGGATTTAGGCCCACTGGACTTCCCACCACAATCATGACAGTTCATTATAACAATATAATAGCACCATAGCAAATTTCCTTTAGCTGAGTCTAAAAACATTCACAATTCAATAAAACAAAATATATAAATAAATACAGAAAAGCAATAAATAAAATAAATATACACTTTGCACTTTTAACTTTCCATTCTATACCCTTGCTGGACTGGGTAAGCATTTCAATAAACATTCTCAATAACTGTAAATCTCAGCAAAGAACTTTGCCTGTTTGGCTTGGAACCATGTCTACACATCCTGTGCAAAAGTGCTACCATATTGAAGTGACAATGACTTGCATGGTAAAATCTAGGTCCAAAACCTGCTGTAGATTTGGGAAAGATGCAACCATGATACCAGGACTTCACTGTGTTCTCTCAAAACCTTGGGTTGAGAAAAACCCAAAGCTTCCTAACTTTGCTGACACAATTCCATCTACCCCCAAAACAATCTATACATAGCTGCTAATAGCCAATCAAAGGACGGCTTCACTAAAAAAATATCTTGGCAACGCCTACACAGTGCAACCTGCCAATCACAGGACGGCCTCAGCAGAACCTTGGATTGCAAGGTTTGAATAGTCATACCAGGTTTCTGACAAAAAGATTGCTCAAGAAATATCAGTAAAAATAAATCAGTCAAGTGAAATACAACTGTGTCAAATTTTACTCCATTTCCCTGTCAGTAAAACATACCAACTGGCACTTCAAAATGAAGTTATTACTTTTCATTTGTATTTTGTTTTCATCAGGCTGATAACTTTCACTAAATTTCTGAACAGTGATGATGATATGCTTTCTCATTTCAAACATTGGGAAACTGACTCAAGCTGCCATAATTTCCTCGCACCAACTCTTCATCAAGTTGGAGTTAAAAAGCATTATAATCCGCTAAAGTGAAAAAATCTTCCTTTTAGGTCTGTAGGAATCTGATACAAATCAAATGTGAACTCTATGTTTAGCGCATAGATTATCTAGCATTGTCATTTGTCTACAAATCAAATATGAACTCCATGTTTGGCGCATAGATTATCTAGCATCGTCATTTGTCTACAAATCAAATATGAACTCCATGTTTGGCGCATAGATTATCTAGCATCGTCATTTGTCTACAAATCAAATATGAACTCCATGTTTGGCGCATAGATTATCTAGCATCGTCATTTGTCTAAAATTATATTTCAATAGGATATATTATCCAGGTTGTCTCCTAGAAGTATTGTAAATACAAACAACAAAATGGTCATTATGACCCATTTCAGTCAGAAACAATCTCCACTAAACTTATTAGCTTCAACTTAAGTATAACTGACAGTTGGTGAAAGGTGTACAAAAATTCAAAGAATGTTTGTAGTTTAGTGTGGCCTCATGGATATCTGTCTCCATCTACTCGACGACTCACATGTTTCTGCACTAAAATTAAGTACAAAATAAATACACAGGCTTACTTCCTAACTGTTCAAGTTATGCTAAATAACATTTTAATTTATACACACATAGCAAAAGTTGGGCTCATTAATATTAAAGAACTATTTTGTTGAGCATGTTTATGAGGCTGCAAGATTGTTTCAAATGTTTGTTTTGGCCACTTAGGAATTGTTAACTGATTACTTATCTTTGGTGCATTACATTAGAAATAATTTCAAATCTTACTGTTTAACCAATCAGATAAGTTCAGTTATCTTGTTATACATTTCCTTTTGGCTTGTCAAAGAATTCAATTTTAATTTTATGAAATTAATTTTTGAGACAGAGTCTTGTAAACAAACTTATAATGGAACTAAAAGAATGTAACAAAATGTTTACTGAAAATGGTAGTTAATGCCCAAAATAGATGACCAAACTGAATTACTAAAAGGATTTAATCACTAACAGTTGACCACACAGTGCTTTGACCATTTTGTAACCACACAAACTATAATAAAAAGGACCACAGAAGGCGGCATTTTTGCTTTGTATGCCAGCCTAAATGCTTGGTTAAAAATGCCCATCGTTACAAATGGCTCTTATATAATATTAGCTAGCCACAGATGTCAGCTTACAAATACTGTGAAGGCACTGAGACACTGTGCCCCAGTGATATCAGCAAATGACTTTGTATGTTACAAAATTCCTTTAATGACCGAGGTAGCATCTTATCACAGTTTTTTAACGCTTAAGGGGAAATGGGAAAGGGATGAATCAATAAGCAGTTTGACACATTGAGCGTACTAATGGATACTACAGGTATCAGGACCCATGTATTCTGGTAATATATAAACACTTATACAGAAAAACAATCTTTTAGTTGGTATGTTTGTAAATATAAACACTGGATGCACTTCTGGTGTATGGTAGATAGGCATAGGTGAAACGTATGCATTTATCTACCATATTTGAAATGTGCTCATCAATTGTGGTTGGATAACAATCATCGAAACATAACATCTTCTTTTTTTTGTACACAATTCCATATTGACAGATTTAGAGACTCTGCAGTTGCTCAACAAATAACAAGACTAAAGCCAGTTTTCAGTATGGTGCACATTTGCAGGAAATCTTTCAAGTTCCAGCTGAATCCAAACGAGTCTCTTACAACCTGTCATAGGTTAGCACACAATGCGCTTATTGCAGTCCCATGTTGGCCAGTGATGTACGTGGCATCATAATCCTATTTTTGTTTCTTTATGCTGGCCTTTTTCCATTGAGTCGATTATTAACTAGAAGCCAATCCCTTGCAGACAGTAGCAAAATTTAGAAAAAGAAGTTTAAGTCTTCTCAAAATCACTGCAAGTCTTGCATGTAGTTACATGATACGTCTTGTTCACGTGTAGTTTGTTGTCACGGCAACTGTTTCAGTCCATGTTGGTGAGTTGTTATAGTCTGTCTGGACCAAAGTACACACAGTTTAGAGGCAAAAGCTCTGACTGAACTTTGGATGAGTTGTGATCTTGCAGTCAATCCTACTGGCATTCCTATCCCACAATGCAGCAGCATTCAATATGTACAGCACATGTCCTGACCCAAACAGGGTACAGACTGCTTTCATTAGCAGAAGTGGTGAGATTGACACAGAGCACCATTCTGGAATCCCACAATGCAGCATTAATAAGTACTAATCACATGACTCCTCCATTGGCTTGTACTCATGTTTGGTTGGTCCTCAGACAGCACTGCCCTCTCTGTGGCTATGATGATGTCCTCTTAAGGTGTTCAAGAGTCTCTGAAGGATGGTTTGCTGCTGTCTGGCACGCAATCTCTGCATAATTTAAAAAAGGGAAAATAAATGATTATACTATAATCCCAAAGGCCTTTAATTCCATTTCAGTTGCTGTACAGGAGTCAGATTTCCTTTTCAAGTTTGATAAGGAACGAAACTTTGGTCTTGGGGAGACCAGTCTTAACAGGATGACATTAAAGTGGAATAATACCAAATCACTCCACTAACTGTAGAATACTGAAGGGCAGTTTGCTTGTTTTGTGACCAATAAAACAAAGGTTCTGGATTGGTGGATATTATCAGTCAGACTTGAGCAGGCACTTTCAATAAGGCCTTCATTTCATTCTATCATGTGCCTTGTATATATCTTCTATTCTTTGGAATTTGTCCCTCTCCCCTATTGCTAACCTTCAGAACTGAAGTATATCCCCTCATATCTGAGAATAAAGTGAAACTATTTCAAATGAAAATTAAACGAATGATAAATAAACAAATAAATAAAACAATGTGAATTAAGTTCTACCCTTTCATCAGCATGACAATAAAATTGTGAATTCTATCGTGGAACAATATCACAATTCTGGAGTTTATTTGCAAGGTCCAACAGTGAAGACACGAAACCAAGATTAAAACCAGAGAAAGTTCAAAGGTGCAAGGTCAATAATTCAAACAAAATAAAACTACTTATATCACTCATATTGATTTAGGTGTTTGGTCATTTCTCTGTCAAGATTTTGTTTCTTGAAGGCTTAAAAGTTACTTCTGGCACGTAGGAAGGAAAAGACAAGGCACATCCTTGCAAAAGGAAAAAAAGACCTTAAAATGCTCCATTGTTAACCAGTCAATGCATTATTGATTATCAATTATGGAAAAATTGCTGATTGACACCAATACATTATCCTTGACATGTGTCAAAAGGGTAATTAACCACAAGTATGATGATACCCTATGAAAGAGGGAGAGTCATAATCTCGCAGTCAGACTGCTGTTATTGATTAATTACACATGGGCTCTTTAGAAAGTAGATGGTATCAATGAGACAACCTTGGTGCCATACAAGGCATACAGGTCAACATGTACATGTACATGTCAATGTCGGTGTACACACAGGGTGTGGACAACTCTATGTATCATGACTCATTGAATGAAAATGAACAGTCTGATCTGCTACCAGCATCTGACTGGGATTGTTTGACGATGCTGTCATCAATTAGCAGCTGTGTTCAATTACCGGAAGTGTGGATTAATAATTCACTACTGGGTTTACATATTGGCATTTCAGAATCAATGTTAAGCAACACTAAAGGAATTTGATGACAAAACACACACTAGAAATGTTGGTTACATCCAAACCAGATGTTTGATTTTGAAAATAGGCCAAGTGCACACAAATATCACCTCAATATTTGCACATTCATTCAATATGAACTCATTTTTTAAAGAGAATTCAGAAATACACTGAGAAAATATGCTCATCATTTTGTCTAAATGAGTCACTGTAACTTTAATTATGAATAAATTCCAACAGGTGAAAGATCAAGACAGTACTCAGTTAATTGGCAGGTAATTGGTTACAGCACTACATGTAGCAAGAACACAAAGTCCTTAGAATATCAGCAGCCCAATTATATCAGCAGCCCAATTAGTTTTGTACAGACACTGATTGATGATTGCTTATTTGAGCCTAAAATACATCTTGAAACTCAATGTATGAGAAGAGTCTTGTCCAAATATTTGTAGGTGAACTTTAAAAATTTATTTGAATTCTTTTTGGCAGGTGTACCGCTTTAAGCCAAAAAATTAAACAATAAATACTAATGAGCATTTACAAGGCACCGGTATCTGCCAAGTAAGACACTCATTGTGCATATTGAGCACCATACAATTAAAATTTTGAATGAAACAAAATTCAATTACAAAACAACACCTCCTTGATGTTATTTCACTTTCAATCCATCACACTCATTTCATATCCTATTTCAGCCATCTAATTGGCAGAGAAAACATAGTTATTACTGACATCCTGGCAGATTATTGGGTTTCTAAAAATCATCCTTATAGCTTGCCGTTTTTATTGTTCAGTGTGAGATATCCAGCCTCAGACATGATAAATCCCAGGTGTCACAAATGGGTTGTAATTCTTCCTGAAACTCTCCAAAGAGGATCATGTAAGCTTTCAAACAAAGCCTAAATGAATCTTATCCTGAAAAACACTGGCACGTCCCTTTACCCATAACAACTATAGCACTGGTTAACTATTAGGAAATGACGTTACCGTGCACTTTTTAAATATCTCCAAGGCAATTCTACAACAAAGTAAATGATGCAATGTAATGAACTACTTTATACAAATATAGGACTCCATTTTCTTGTTAACATTTTCCTATCAAACTTTAAGAGCAGTCAAAGAATGGAGAAGTACTGTAACATTTTCCAATAAAAAATCCATTGAGAAGTACAAAAGCCAGAGGTTGTCTAATACACAGATGGTGACCTCTCTCATTATAACCTTGACTAAAAACTGTAAATCTGGATAGCTGAAGGAATACAGGCAGTTGAGATACTTGAAGGAAATCAGTTCCAATCTTTACATTTGGCATAACATCCTTGCCTCAGGCTATGCAATTTAATGTACACTGAAATGCCAACTGTAAGGTAATTTGCCATATCCCCAAACCTCTAACCAAATAAAAGGACTATATATCATGGCTACAGCCTGACCTGGGCATTTCACACAAGAGTAACCTGCCTGTTAAATGCAGCATATTTTCAGCTTGGGGCGCTGGTATCATATCAAATTAGAATGCATCAGCCTGACCCTTTGGCTGCTTCACTTACTCCAGCAGCCATGATTGGTATCCTCCCTGTTACTGTAAAAAAACAGGTGGTGCAAGGGCACGCCATCTCGCTAATGAACAACCCGCAACAAAAAGCAAAAGGATTATAATTCAATATCCAGTAACTCCCTGTGCCTTCCAACTTGAAAAGATTATAAAAATCAATCCACTGGAGAAAAAAAAACATAAAATTGAGCAGGAGCCAAAGCTCCATTTTTGTAATCAAATGAATTTGATTTGCAAGATTTAAATCAATAACCTACAACAGTTGCACTGCTGCCGGAGGACGTTTATGAAGTTGAGACTTGGACATCATTCTATAAAAACCATGCCATGACACATTCAAATCTGCACCAAAGAAACTTTTTCGTCTATTAAAGCCAGGTGTGTCCTTTGATTATGATTGGAACTCAAACACACAGTTGCCCGTATGACGTTAAAGTGAAAAGACAATGAGAAACCTACCATCAGTGAAAGGTGCACAAATAATCAAGACTATTGCAGAAAAAAATGTAAAAATTTTATAATCAGACCATGGGGCCATATTTTCCCAGGGAATCCTGAAGGACTCTCATCCCTCTCCCTTTTTGAAACCTCAGAAGACAAAGAAAATCTCATCAACTTCTCACCTGATGGTCGTGGTAGGACAGATGGAACTCATCACTAATCCTTCTTAGCTGTCTTCCTACCCTTATCTCTGGTCTCATCAAGTTGGTAGGGGCTGAGTTAGATCGGTCTCGGAAGGCTACAAGATCAGGTAGAGGCATCCCTAAGCTCCCTTGTGTGTTTTCTTCATTGCCTTCTTCCCCTTCCTCAACCCTCAGGTCATCGCCATTGTTCTCCGAGTACACCCGACTGCGTGCTCGTCTCTCTGCTCAAGAGAAAAAATAGAGAAAAAGTTGGCAATTGAGTCATTTTGATATTTCACTTATTCTCTTACAGAAACTGTCAAGAGGTTAAACCTGACATCAAAATATATGACACTGCTTGCACCCTCTTTCTCATCCTTATTCCTTATTTCTGAAAAAAGTTCTGCAAGGTTAATAATTTCCTGGGCTTGTTACCACCTCTTGTGTCTTGAGCAAAGGTAATCTTGCATTACACCTTGAGCACAGTTGCCATTTTTTCATTCGAGATGAGCTTTCCAACGAGACACCGGTTAAACAAAGTTGGTCCATGACAAGTTATAATTAATTTCAATTTGTTCAAATCAGAATGCAGCCAGAAGCTAGTGCATACATCTCAACATGACAAAACCCAATTGTTTGTATATGCTATACAGTTTCCAACTCAAAAGTGATCATTCACTATGTGTGCACATTGTGTCAAACACATGCATAATTAACATACTAGCTGGTCACATCACTAGATAGGAATAGTTACAGAATTTGGCTCAGGACATTTTGAGCTGCTGTGCGGTTAAGCACAATACTAGAAGGCACTTTTAAAATGCATAAAGCAAGGCCTGTAATTACAAAGAAACAAGTTGATTATTACAAGGCATCATTTTACTTCAAAATTCACTGAGAGAGGAACACCAATAGTTGGAAAAAGCATTGACAATATAGCAGTAATCATCAACAAGTACATATTTACAACTTACCCATTTTTGCACTTTGTTTATCACAACACATCTTAATCTATTAATCCAGATAACGAATCTCAGATCCTTTCCCATAGATTTTTAAACAAGAACTGAAATGTACACTATAATTACGTGTTGCAATGCCTGTCACTACTAGCCTTAGCTAGTTTGTTTACAAGTATATAGCTATTAATAGGCATGACATCGTCTTTCCCCAGCTAAATGCAACAAAGGCATTGAAGAGACCAGTACATTTATTCTTCATGCTATGCATTTTGTAAACTCGTCCAGACAGGTTTGCCTATGTAATCCATGTATTGATTGATCTATGCTTTTGGTTAGTCATATTGTTTGCTATGTGCTTATGATTTCTTGCTTTAACTTCAATGAATATTGATTCCTGTAGCCACAAATTGTGATTCTATATGGGGGGGGGGAGACACAGAACTGAGGAATACCCCTGACAAAGGCTGTTTACTCCTAGCCCTAACCCTGCCAAACCCTATGATTGACAGCTGTATTCTGTGAGCCACGTCAGCAAAGGCTGCTTTTCCACCAGGCTCTGTACAGATTAAACCTCCTCTCTCAGCACCTGGTTACCCAGCCACCTAAATCTAGCTGTCTGATTGGCTCATGACATGCCAGCTCTAGCTAATTTACATACAATAGTTAGATCTGGGAGGTACCCTAAACCTGTAGCCTGGGGACAATGCCTAAAAATAGTCACTCCCAACTAGCCTTCAGATAAAAACTGAAAAACAAAGCAAACATATATCTACAGGCCTCTGACAAACCCGCACTGCCCATACCAGGCCATGCAAATGCGTAGGGAAGATTTCATAACCACAAATGGGCATAAAACAAAGCTTTGCATGAAGATATGACTTCACAGTAGGATACATCTACCTGGAGGTAGAATAATGTAGAATAATGCTGGAAGTTTGCTGGCAGCTTGCCAGAACATGATAATGACATTTTGTTTGATGGGTTTCATGACAAAAGTCCCTTTGAGATGAGTGATAATGTTTTACATGCACCTCCTTATAATTCAACCACTAAATCAATCCACAGATCTGTTGGGGGTTCTTGTCAGACAAAGGTTCATAAAGAGTTCAAGTCAGCATTCAGTAGGACAGAAACTAACTCTGCTGTGTCTACCAACATTATTACAGTCAACTTTCTGATTTTCATTCAAGTCATGCTGTAGCCAAATAATTTACATAAACGTAATAAATGTACACCTGTGTAAAACAATGCTTGTAGAAACATAGCAGATTCATGGACTATAAAATGAAAAACGAAATGCTTTCAAAAATAGTAGCACAGTTATGATGATGATCCCATAAATGCGTCAGCTCCACATGTACCTCTGTTGTCAAACAAATGTACATTTCTTCTCTTTTCCTGTTTATCACGAATGACTACTCCCACTGCAAACCACACTTCCTTTCAGCTAGGCCTGAAACGGATATTATATTTAATGGGCTACCTTTGCTGTGTTATTGAAGGAATCTGAAACCATATAGGGAGGCAAATCGGCTAAATGTTTTAGCAACTGATTTCATGAAACCTTACGCCATGGCCTACATGTAACTCTCTACGCCCCATTTTATGGCGTAAGTCGCACCAAATTATGACACTTTTCATGAAAGTTACACGAGGTTTAACTCTGAGACAATGCACAACAAATTAAAGTACAATTCATACAGTCATAGTTTTAGCAAAATGTAAATTAACTATCAGGCCTGTCACTGCTCAACTTATCAAGGTATAAATGAGAAACACAGATTTTTTGTGTTAATTTTTGGGAAGGTAATGATATACTTGTTTCACTTGAACAAGATTTGTTCGGAAGAGTTCTAAAAGACAAGACAAAACCTGTTTTCTAATGGTGGGCTAATCCAGTTAATTCAATGACTGTTGTAAGGTTTCAAAATTAAATGCTGCCAGAGAGCTGTGACAGTGCTTGTCCAAGATGTTTAAAATAATTAAAGCACTGCACAGTGCACCAAGTAATGGGAGCTTGTTCAGCCCCAAACTTTATTGTACCTTGCCTGCTCATGGAACTTAACTCCTACATGTTCCGGTAGAAGCTTTGTCAAATCTTCAATTCCACGGTGTCAAATTCTGTTTTTGTGAGGAATTTGGGAACCCAATTTCATGTTTGGAAAATGCGCAATTTTGGAACATGTGTTTAATATATTTATTTCTAAGGTGACTTTACAAATGTACTGGTACATGTAGTTATTCAAGCATAAATAATTCCTAAGTTTGCCCAATTTAGATATGAATGGAATAGCCTCTACAGTTTCTTTCACAGTTTGATTTTAATCACCTTCATCATATCACCCTAAGCCTTCAATTTAAAATTTCATTCATATTTTTCCCATGTTTGAGATGAGCAATCTTTCCGTTTCACAAATTTCCTGCCTTGCGTGTCTAAAAACACAACAGCTGGTAGTCTTCACACTAACTTCCCCAACACTGAACAACCAATGCAACTCCTTTGTTTGGATTAGCATAGCTGAAAAGCTGCAGACTGCATCATAAGGTCATGTAATCATTATTTTATATTCTTTATGATTAAATGTTATTGATTTGTGTATATATGTAATTCAGGGAGTTGGTGCGTTTTATCTTTCACTGATAAAATCCTGTGGTGTCAGCATAACAAATGGTTATATTTAAGCAACAGTTGGTTCAACACCTAGGTTAACTATGAAAAGATATTGCAGAGCAAGTCAATAATATGCCAGCCTGGCAAGCCTAAATGTTTTTACAATAATCAATTGTTAATTCTTACATGAGAGATACATGTACATGTACCAGCTGAATAAATTGTCTCAAATTGTAAATGGATGATGCAATTATTTGTCACCAACAATAACATCTTCGGAATTGTCTATTCCACAAATAAGAAAGGGTTTATGCAAATCCTCGGGGGGGGGGAGCCCCTAGTGCAGTTACCACGGCGAATAATGCTGTGCAGACTCTTCAAAGGGGACTACACATGTGTTGAAACACAGTTGCTGTGGGGACAAAAACAAAACAAAAACAGTAGGGAGACAAGTCACAACTTGGTCCTAACTTTTGTGACAAGACAATTGTTCCCTCAATGCTGTGAAGGCCTGCCTACTCAGTACCCTTCCTTGCTTACTATTGAGGGGGTATGGGTAGTCCAGGGTTCTAGGCAGGCATTCAAAAGCAAATCGGGCCGATATGAATAGGATGTTTTGAATAGGAGCTGCCCATCTATGGGTTTATATGTCTGTGATAATACCCCACTCCTCAGCCTTGGTTCAATCAGGCACATGCATTATGGAGAGATACATGTAGCAGGAGGGTAGGCACAGCATACTGTGGCTGATGTTAGGTTTTGCTGAGGAGGATGCAGAAAAGATGAAGATGGGGTGAGGCTGGGAGGAGCTGATTCTGTAAAAAGGAATGTTCATGTATTCTACTGATATTTTATCACATTTATTTTATTCCACCACATTAAGAAAATTCTATTTCAAATAATTTCACTTTGTATATATGAATATCATTATAGCAGGTTTCACGTTATTCTGTTACCCAGGTTATCTCAGGATTAACGAAACATTTAACCCCGAGATTACCCAGGTAATTATGAGTGTTCACACTAGACTTCTTGGGGTTAGAACTTCTTTGGTTCACTGCCTCAAAACACCACTTCCCGGGTAATTTCTAACCCTATTTGTGAGGTGGGTTAACCTGCTAATCTCAGGGTTAACAGCAGCCTTGAGACAATTCTTGGGGTTACTTTCAGTAGTATGAGTGCTTGCTGAGTTTTCTTAAACTTATTTTTTGTCACGTAACAGTATGGCCAGCACTGCCTTGTGCGAGTTGCTGATGTCCAACACAACTGGTTCTCGTTGTAATTACACTATTTTTACTTGTACTTTATATGGAGGACACCAATCTATGTTGGCCATTAAAGAGCACATGTACCTCTAAGTAAAACATGTTTTCTCTGATTTTATCTGTTCAAATAAAATATGGAAACATCCAAATTGAAGGCAGTCAATTTGTCTTCAGAGTTTAACTATAACAAGCTTAAAAGGGCTTTTTTTCTGTTCACGCCAAGATGTGAATTCTGAATGTAGACTGCGTCCTTTAGAGAAAACGAGGGGAACACTTGCCCTGTGTTCGTAGTGAATAAACCCTTATGCATGCCAAACAATGGCTATATGCATTGTTTGGCATGCACAAGGGTTTAACCGCTACAAAAACAGGGCGAGGGTTCCCCTCGTTTTCTCTGTTTCCTC